TTTTATTAATTAGAACATTTAATATATTTCTGTAGAAGAGTGAATATTTTCATGCATTATACAATGAATGTTTTGTAACTTCCTATATGGGGAAGATTGCAGTCAGAGTGACAGGAGACTTTCAGACATACAGTGAAGTGTTGCAAGGATGACAACGGGAACAACACTTTAACACACTGCAGAGGGATTTTCCAAAATTCATTCACAGTCTGCTTTTGGTCAGTATAAATACAAACAGTAACACTCATCTGTAGTGTCAAATTTACCCTTATATAACCAGCCCTCTAATGCCAGTGAACTGAATAACCAACATAATGTAAAAATAAAAAGTTCTCAAAGCTGCAAAAACCTTCCTCACTTTGAATAGAAACGTTGACTCAGAGATTGTTATAAGGCCTAGTTAAGCCTATTACTGGTACCATCATGACACTAAGATATTACACAAGAGCCCTATTGTGAAAGAGTTGTAAAAAAAAATGTTGAATGTATTTTGGTGCAAAGGGTAAGGTGTTTAAGATTGTTTCCTATCTGTTGAGTATCAGTGTATGAAATGTTGTTGTCTTTACGTGCTATTTCTTTTAGATCTTCAGAATTTTTAGTATATAGAAGAATTCTGACTCTCTCTGCCTCACCAACAATCACACACACACATATATATGCAGGTACACATGCGTGTTTCAACTTGCTTCAAATTCAGCAGAAACGTAATCTAATGCATCTAAATCCCTAATCTGTAAATGACACTATGTTTTGCTTGTATTTTAAGATGTGTAACCCAGAAAACAGTGAAACCATGTATGACTGTAAAGTCATAAATTACAGTAACCACATGCCTTCCTTGTCTCTGTGTTTAATGCAGACATAAACTAATGTTTACCAACTCAGATGGAATTACCAGTCTTAGGGAAATGTGTAAAAACTAAAAATAGATTGTGGATGTGGAGATTTACATGTCATAGTTTCCATCCAAACAGTTTCTTTTGGAAACTTTTATTATTGCTTCCTGCTTGTAGATCTGGTCTTTCAGGAAATGAACTGTCTGAACTTGGTTATATGGGTAGACAGGAAGATTTAAGAGAGGATTTCCAAGAATATTTAAAATAAATAGTCCATAGTAACCAACTGTTAAATTATACAGAAAAGGTTATTATATACATTTGACATTCTGTGTATTAAATACGATATTTACTAAAAGTTAATTCAAACAAACATGAGAAAGAAATTGTTTCGAACCACTTGAAACCTGCTATCACTTTCATATGAATACACTTTTATCAAGACAAACCCTAAATAAAAACTTTGGTTATTTGTTTTCTATTTTTGTTTAAATCTGCTGTGCTTTTAAACATAGCTGGAAAAAGTTACCACTTTGGCCAACCTGTTAAATGTATGCATAATTTGTATAATCAAAGAAACCTCCTAACAATTGCAACATCCAGCAAAAAAGACCAGTATAATTAACATATTTCATAGTTATGTTGTTGAAGCCCCACAGACAGCCTTTATTGTAGAGACTACTTTTCCTCTTTTTTGATGCTGCTGTTATGTGACTTGGCACTTCCCAGCTGTAATACAACATGGACAGTCACACACTCTCTGAGGCCATGACACGCACATTGTACACATACGTGTGTTAATATGCTTACACTACATTTCAAAGTCCAAAGGCTGATCTCTTCTCAAAGTGTGAAATCACTGTTTGCCAGGCGAAGTCAGGTCATGCTGCCTAAACCAGAGTCTTTCAGTTTGGTTTGACTTCATCTGGAAAGATAGTTGGGAT